GACCCCTAGTTGAGTTGTGGTACCTGATTAAGTAAACCCAGCTCAAGACTAGGCTCAACACTGCCCTTGAGCATTTCAGGGATTTCTAGCTCGCTCTGTCCACTGAAGGTCAGTCAGCCCAGAGTCCTGCATCTTTCATGTTCTCTTGCTTGGGCCCCAGCACCAAATCTAACAAGAGGGGGCTGAGCATAGTCTAACCAGGCCCAAGCTTCAATCCCATTCAGGTGGCCCAGTTTTTCTTTCTTTAAGGTGTATGAGAGGACTTCAAAAGGTTCGTGGAAAAATGGAATTAAAAAGATAAAAAAATTTTTAAAAATCTGAGCTTTATTTCTCATCTTTATAAGCTCCATCAAGAAACTTAGGTAAATGCTGATGTCAGCCATTTAATCCATCCCTAACAAACTGAGGGTCCTGGGGATTTATCCAGGTCAGTGCAGCCTTTTTACGTGATTAACTGAAGAAAAATGGGTGGGTGCCCTTTAAAGATTTTTTAAGATTGGGAAACAAAAAGACGTCAGCAGGAGCCAAATCAGGCCTTGCACAGGTGCCCTCATTTGATGGAAGGGACGAGCAGGTGCTTTGTGTACTGGAGAAGGACTCTCTCATGGACTTTGTTTTTCTGCTGAAGCTTTGGTTAACTCTCCAATCACTCTCATTAACGCTACTGTTCTGTGGCCCTCCAGAAAGTCAACAAGCAAAATGGAACATCCCCCAAAACTGTTGCCATGACCAGTCTGCTTTTTGCTTTCTGGACCACTTCCACCTCTTGGTAGCCACTGCTTTCATTGTGCTTTGTCTTCTGGATCGTACTGGTAAACCAGGTTTCATTTTCTGCTACAGTTCTTCCAAGAAACACTTCAGAATCCTGCTGGTTTATAATCTCCATAGAAAGCACTTCTCCTATCGGCAGCTGATGTGATTTGGCACCCCACAAGTGCAAGTTTGCTCAACTTTTTCAGTCAGAACTGTGTACGCTGAACCATAAAATTGAGATTTTCTGGTGTTGACTACTTTTTCTTCTAATTATCACTTTTCTTCAATTAGGGCATGAATAAGATTAATTTTTTTTCCAGGCAAATTGTTGTGGGGGCTCTGGTTTTGTTGTCTTGCTCCTTCTTACAACAAATTACCCATTTTAAACTGATTTCTTTGGACACATTGTCCTTGTAAATTTTTCTTAAAATATCATGGTTTCAAACATGATTTCACCAGTCTTCCACACAAGCTTCACCATACATTTTCATGTTTGCTCTCACTTCAATTTGAGCAGAATTCATGTTTGAGGATAGAGTGGGGCCTTTTTCAAATGAAAGTCTTATCCTTATCTAGTACTCAAACTAGATTCTGCTCAGGCACATTATAGCAAGTTCACTTTGCATGGATTTTTGAAATTCAAGCATGGTTTGTTCACAATAAGCACTTTCCATGAGCTTCTTGAAGACCCCGAGTACTCACGGCCACAGTTCTGGTGTGGCACTGGGGGCTAAAGAACTGCACTACAGCTCGGTTTGAACCACAAGGTCAGCTGCTCTCTGGAAACACTATACAGGGTCACCATGAATTGGAACTGACTCGACTTAATGGCACGTAACAACAGTGCTCATGGTCACGTGAAGTGGACAGGTTCTCACCCTTGCAGTGGCTTTTCCGCAGAGAGATGGCTGCCTGGAACGTCTAGACTCATCTCAGCAGTTCTCCCAGGAAAAAACAGGGCTTTTTCAAGATGAAGGAAGCAAACTGAACCACATTGGACTCTCTTCTGCAGGGTAGATGATGCAGGAGGAGCTAATGCCAGTGATGAGCAGAGGAGGCACATGGATTTGAGTTAGGAAAATCACTTTCACATCTGGATTGTGGGTGAGTTAGAGACAGGGAGATCAGAAGTCACAGTTTTGGTGTTGAGGAAATTCTCCTTATGGGGCAGGGATCTAGCACACACCTACAAGCAGGTAAAGGGCTTAGTTCCAGGATGTTGAGATGGAGAGTGTGAACATGCCAACTGACTACAACTCAGACACTAGCTGAGGTCAGCCTGGCACTTAACACTGGGATATGACAGACTTGAACCCAGAGTTCTTGACCTTCCCCAGGATACCTGTGGGCCTCTGACTGAACAAGGATCCAGAACCAGCAACACTAGGGCCTTGAAGGATACGTCCACAGGAGGGGTGGTACAATGGTGAGTGTGGGTCTCCCACCTGGCTGCTCCAGGCCCTAAGTTCTCATGACTGTCCCCCCCATGCAGGAGACAAGCATCTGCTGTCACCAGAAATGGTTCCTGTCATTAGGAACGCAAGAGAAGAAATGATTCTATCCCCATGAAATCCATAATCTAGTGGGAAAAGGCAGAGAATCCACTGTACAACATGCCAAGCGCTCCACCTAGGGAGGCTGAGGGATGGGGAGGCCCCGTGAGAATGGAAGCAGCTCTCAGGGATCAAGGTAGGGTTGAGATTTAGTTTTGAAAGATAAGTTGAGCTTTATGGGGGAGAGGGCATTCCAGGCAGAAGGAACAGCACATGCAGAGGCAGGTGTCTCACGAGTGGTCTTGCATGGCTCGAATGATGGATGCACAGGGTGGCAAGAGGCTGTGGCCAGCATGGCAGAATTTGAGTGCTAGGAGCTCAGACTTCATCCTGAGGCCAGTGGGCCACGAGTGATGGGAATGACGTTTGGGTTGGGATTTTAGCAGCACAGCAGATGAACTACTGGGGCAGAGGGAGCAACTGGTAAGGACTCTGTTCATGGCGGGCAGGGCCCATGCAGTTGTGATCCTGACCCTTCAAGAGCCTAGATTCTCAGGAATCGTAAGAAGAGCTTGTAGAGTGAAAGCAGTCAGAAACGCGCAGGCAGCCTGAGCTGGTCGTGTACCTGAATGGAGAGGACAGGATGGGAGACCCAGGCCTCGGGTGGGGACTCACGCGAACTGCTGACAGAAGTGTCTGCAGGCTTCCCAGTCCTCACAGGGCAGTGACAGTAGCTTGGGGGTCAGAGACAGGGCTTGTCTTTGGGGCTGATGGATGACCAGACGAGACCCTAGAGCGTCCCCGCTCACCACCTCACTGGACCCCTTCTTTGAACTCCTAACTTTATACTTTCATGGGTGATGGTAAAGTCCATTAGAAGCCAAGAGATTAGGGGCCCCAAAGTCTTTTAAGGAAAAATGAAAAAACAAAAACAAAAAACAACCCCAAAAACTCAAAACAAACTCTTTCACCAGACCAGGATTTGATTGGATTAAAAAAGTGTATTGGATTTCCAATACTAAATAAAAACATGAAATTGGTTTTTAAAAGCCATAGAGTTTACAGCATCAACTACAGAAAAGCCCAAACAAGTGTGTACAGAGCCCCCCCAGGCTCCCACCAGGCAGCAAGTCCACAGACACGGAAGCTCCCAATGCTCCCGGATGGAGCTCAACAAGGAAGTCACAAGACACACAATGGATTCGTTTCAAAAAACCACAGGAAAACGTTCAGAAAATGTATTAAATTGTGAAAAGGTGCAATACAGAATAGCTTTCCTTTTTTTTTTTTTTTTTACTTTAAAAAAAAATCCCCTCACTTTTGAACATTTTCTTGAAAAATAGGTCCCTCCCCCGCCCCACCCCCAATTCTGTGGCAGTATCCAGGTACCAAGGCCCTGAGGTAATAGAAGTATCAGGGTTCATGGGAGGGGATGCGCCAAACACAGAGCATGCTTCTTTGGGCAGAGGTAAGAGGCAGTTTTCCTGGTGACGAGAGGGCTGAGCATTGGCTGAGCGTTTTCTCACGATCAGGTCAAGTGCACTGGTTTTCCAGAGTCCTGCCTGGTACCACCCTCTGTGAGCAGCCAGCCTGGCAGCAGCAGTTCTAACATTGTACTACTCATCAGCCCAGAATAGTAACTACGTGAGGACGGGGACTGTAAGTCAGGTACAAAGGCCTGCAGCCTGTCCGCAGCGTGGGGCCCTATGAAGCCAGGGCAGTACTGCTAGGAAGAGGTGCCCGCTGGTGGTCTTGGCAGTTGGCCCCCACTTTGTAGCTATAGAACCAATGAGTTTCCTGCCTTCCACACAGAGGTCCTTCCTACTCTCTTGGGACTCTGAGGGCCAGTCCTGTTTGTTTTTTTTTTTTTTTTTCCTCTCCGTAATAGAGTCTTAATGTTAAAACAGCAAAAATCCAAATGCCTCTCAGCTCCTATCTTTTAAACAAAATGAACACGAGGACTATTTGCAAAGGAGTTCCATGAGTATTTCCTTAGGGAAAAGGGCTGTGTGTGTACAACTGAGCTTGTCTGCGAACCTCAGACCACCGGCCACCCACTCAGGTGCAGAAAGACCTGCTGCTTCCTCCATTCCTCCAGCCCTCTCCACTGCCTCCCAACACTTGAAGAACAATGTTGGGAAAGACCTGGAGGAGCCACGTGGATGCTACAGCCCATCCCCTTGCCTCATCCTTGCGATAAGCTTTTTCCAAAGGGGCTCTGAAGTATGCGAGTGAGAGTTGGTCTGGCTGAGGACAGGAACTAGAGAGAAGCAAGGAGTCCTCTCCTCCAGTTCCTCCCTCAACCTCCAACGTTCCCAAGGGAGACAGAGACAGCAGTGGAGAAGGGTATCTCTCTAGCCTTTGCTCTTGGATCTCCCAGGAACTCTGAGCAGGACAAGCTCTTGCTCTCTCCTGCACCACTCTTGTGACAAGAGACACAGCACCCCGGGCCTCGGCTGGGACAGTCTCCCCAGGATATGGCCAAGATACTGGGACAGCTAAATCACTGAACCCATCTATTGCACAGGATTCTAAAACCAGATCCAAATGAAACTCTAGTTGCAATGTAGTGACAACAGAGATGGACATGCCGGGAAAGAACAATAAAGATGCTTCCATTCTCTGCAGGCTTCGGAAATATTACAATGACCAAAACGTTCACAGAATCTCAGCAGCCCCTCCATCTCCCACTCCCAATCCCGCCCACCCCACCCCAATACTGCAACTGCACAGAGAGCAACAAACAAGTCTTTCCAAGGTTACATTTCATCCAAATAGATCTGTAATCTCACAGTGATGAGAGGAGAAAAGTCAGGCCTTTAATAATTATCATAAAAAAATAATAACAAAAGCGTACAAACAGCATTGCAACATTTCCTCCCCCTGAAAGTGATGGATTAACAGCCGGCAGAGGAGGCAACGACTCAATTAAAAATCAAACAAAAATTAAAACAAAACAAATCAACAGAAAACACAAGCCAACCCTTGAGCAACCCACACTGTCAGTGACTTTCCACACAGAGCTCAGACAAGTAGCCAGCTGTCAACCACCTGTGGAGACCACCACGGACTTCCTCGGTTTTTGATAGTGTTTGTTTTAAAGGTAAAATAAAACAGGACACAAATCAAGTTGTACATAAACGCCAATGTCTACACTCCATAAAGGCGATGCCGTTGCAGCATGAAGACGCAGCCTGACCACAAAGTGAAATGTAGGTTGCACGTCTCGCCTCTTCCCTGGACACAAAATTTTGGCCCTTGGTGCCCAGTCCTGCAGGGTCTCAGCAGGCAAAGGGAAGTGGCCCCGACACAGGCTTCTTCCGGGCTGGTCAGGAGAAGGCAGGTGGCCATGCCTGGAGCGAGCCCCGCCGGGGGCGCTGGCTTCTCTGCTCATTCTCTGTCCTCTCTTACTCTGTACAACTCCTTGCTTTTCAAGGCTAAGTCCCAGGACTCGAAGACTCAGGCTTGGAGCCATGTCCTGGTGAAGGTTGTCACGCTGTCGTGATGGCGTTTAGATCCTTCATGAGTCCTTCCAGGTGGGCCATCTCTTTGGTCAGCTCATCTGGTTCGTAGCTCTGTGGAAAAGAAAGCACTGTTACTGGAAAGGCACCAGTCCAAGAGCCCTGAGAGATGTCAGATGTCAGTTATGAGTTGCGAGAATGGCCCTCTGAAACCAGAGACAGCAGGACATGCCCAAGGTCACTACAATCCCCAGGCATCAAGGACTCATTTCTTTATACTGCCAAATGCCTTTCCCCCAACACACAGGATTTATAGTTCCCTTGTCCCTCTGAGGTCTCTGCTGGTGTGTCCCATGTCTCCCAGCTTCCTTTAAGAGTCCTGTGCCTGGGACCACAGAGGCAGGCCATCACTGGGACACCCTGAGAGTGCAAGTTCAAGGATGAGAACCTGCTGATGTCTCGGTATTGATTCCCCTCAGACAAGGTCATGACGTGAAACTGAGGGAGAAGGAACCAGAAGAGGGCCAGACAGAAGGGAGAGAACTGGAAGGCAGGCAGGGGGGAGAGTCACTAGGGACACTGGTGCTGGCAGGAGAGAAAGCAGACGGGACTCCAGTGGAGGAGCTGCTCCTCACATGCACTCTTGAGTGAGCGCATGCGGCTGCCTGGGCCCAGGGACTTACACTCTCGGAGTCTTCCAGCATCCTCGTGGTCTCCTGCACATCTGGAGCACTAGGAACGACCACAGGCATAGGCGGCCGGCTCCTTCCTAGTGTCCCAATGGAGGCGGTCTTCACTGCGTGGATGTGGTGGTTCAGAGCTGAGGAGGAAAGGGCACTGTGAGGTGTGCAGTGGTGTCAGTGAGGAACACATGCAGACTCACTGCCTGAATCCTGTTCCTCTGAAGGCACTGGTACAGGATGAAAGGAGGACGACAACACAACATTCAAAAGGCTCAAGAAGAGGCCCCTCAGCTTTAAAAACGAACCTAGTCCAGGGGTACTCAAAGTGTGGTGGTCTATGGACTCATGCCAGAATGTCTGTGAGGGTCACCATGCATTTCACAATCCGCCTAAGGGACCAGCTGCCGTCTTCTCAGCCATGGCATTTATGCCGATGGAACAAAAACTGCTGGAGCACCAGATATGAGACTGTCACTCACAGACGTGATGATGTACTTGCAGTTTCAAAAAATAAGAAGAGCCAGTTTCATGCTGAATGAAGCAACACAACTGATATGTTATGAAACCTCAATCCCTGTGCACATATCTTAAATATTTAATGTGATGAAATGGGAAGCAAGCAGAAAGTACTTCTGAATGTACTGAAGTACAATGGCTGCCTTACTAAGAGGCGTCTGTGGTTGTGTGAGTCGCCAGCTGGCCAGACCACTCTGTTACCATGCAACATCGTGGTCACTTCAAATGAAGATGGACACACGTGGGCATCTGGCAGACACTGTCTACAAGATGAATGAAGCAAGTCTGCCACACCAAGGAAAACAATGGGCAGGACATGGAGTGCCACTGATACAAGTTTTGAAGCGAAATCAGAATTTTGAAAGACTTATATCTGTCACCACAAGCTTGACAGCTTCCCAATAAAGAATTTGGTGATACGAATGAACGTGTTTGTAGGCGCTGTATACAGAAACAGGTCAATATTTGGAGGATCTGTGTAACTTACTGAACCAATATTTTCCAAATGACTAATGCATGAAGTTACAAAGCCATGTATCCAGAGCGCAAGGTAGAAGAATGGATTTTATTGGAACAGAGCGTGACTAGCTTATTGACTTGGCTTCAGATTCCATATTACAACCAATCTTTAAGGAACTACTGTATGGTGTGTTTCGTTGTGGTCTCAGAAAAGAATAGCCACAACTGTCACTCCTCTCACTACAGTTTTTGTTTAGGAAAATCTACAGTCAAACTTGCAAAAGCCAGAACCTGTGTAAAGCAGAAACCTGCCAGAGAAGGAAACACTGTGAGACCCGGAAACCCAAGGCAGTCCTGTGTAGTTCTGGCTCTCACAGGTTCCACTTTGTAATAATTTTCACAAAAACATGCTATTTATATGTCAACATTAATGGGTTTACTACTATTTTTAAGATGAATTAATTATTTTAAAATTTGTTTAAATTTCTAATACAGAAATACTGGTAGATATAACATCTGTAAAGAAAAGTTCTTTTGTGTCCTCAGTAGCTTTTAAGACTATAAGTACGTTCTGAATCCAAGACATTTGAGAAGCAATGTGAGAGTTGCAGGGGAAAGCATGCCTTAGAGGCCAGGGACCTTTGCGCAGAGCTGTGTGCGCTCGGCAAGTTGCTCCCCTCTGCAGTTCAGGTCTCTGTCCTCAGGTTCCTTCTTGGGCTGCCATCCTGTGAGTCTAAGTTTTGGCCTTCCTCACCCTTTCTAGCAGTTTATGAGGTGCTGCCATGAGGTTGGGAGAACTAGATCTCTTGCCTACAACCATTCAACTGGATTTTACCAACTGAGGTTTCTACATATAAAACACAATTCCAAAGGTCAGCCTTTGCTCTCCACTGAGTTTTACTCTGGTTCCTTCCCAGAGGAGAGGAGCTCAGGTCCGCAGAGTGGGCACGGACATACTACTGGGATCATTTTCAAGGAGAAGACTTTTGCCACATGAATCAGTGCTACTGCCCTCACCTTGCTGGGACAGCAATGGTGTGCTTGGTAATGCGGGATCATAGGTGGGAGGTCCCGGGGGCGGGATTGCCGGCACAGCAAAGCTCTTCAGTGGGTGGGAAGGGCGGACATGCGCTGTAGGGAGACTCTGGCCTGAGTCTTCCTCTTGAGAGCTGGCCAAGTAAGACGAGTTGGTAGTACCTTCAGGGTCCTGATGATCACTACAGCATGTCTGAGATGAGGAGGCTGGCATGGTGTCAGTGCTGGGCGTATTTCTAACAGATTCTACAGAAGAGAAGTCTAAACGTTAGCATTTCTTTGACCATAAAACACATGCAAAGCTCAGGGTTCTGGCTACCTGTGTAATAACGTCCCTTATATCAGCTCAATCAGTAATCAGCGCTAGTCCAGAACATGGCTCAGCATCACTGCCTTGGCTAAGAATGGACTAATCTCAGAGTCCCACACAATCTTGTTGCCAACCAGCTGTTCAATCTTTTTACCTACAAAACCAAGTGATTATAATTTTACAAATTTAAAGCTCCAGCTTCTATTAGGGAGCATGCATGCAGGATCCTGGGCTGCTGTTTATTTAAGATATAGCAAATGTAAAAGGAGATTACAATGTCCATTCACTGATCAGAAATCTTAGGAAAGTGGCCTTTCATAGTCACTGAACCTGGCAGGATACGGGGCGGTGCCAGTTGTGCCCGTGAGGGCTGGAGATCACTGCAGGAAAGGGTCTGTGTCCCTGGCTCTGCACACCCTCTGGGAACTGTGGACAGCCTCCCAGAGCAACAGCCACACAGCTAAAGGTAAGACTTGGACCATCAAACAGTCTAGACGTCTGCTCACAGCTTTATGATACTGCCATATGAAAGCCACTGTGGTCCAGAGGAAGAAACAGGGATAGGTTAGCCCGGAGGAGGAGGACCCAGGAAGAACATGCAAGTCTTCTCAAAATATGAAGAGGGAGCAGAGCTGTTCTAGAGGTGAGGTGCAAGAAACCCTGGTTTTAGAGTCAGATCACCCTGGACTCAAATTTCGGCATACTAGTTGAGTGAACCAGCAGTTTGAATTTCTCTGCATCTTGGTTCCTTCATCTCTAAACAGGGAGAATTAGCACATAATTCACAGTGGAATGAGTGAGAACATGCATGAGAAGTGCTGAGCACTGCACTTAAATAACTGATATGGTTCTTTTCTTTTTAAATTGCTGGATGCTTTTTCTAAGCAAGGCATCGAAGCTCCGAGCTCTAAACGCATTATCTCAGGGAATCCTTGAAACTCACAAGCTCACGGTTAGAACTTGAGGGGCAGCAATCTCATGCTCTTCACAACCGCATACTCTACTGCCCTTTTCTGCCCAATACTCAGCTGCCCCCTCCCTGTCTTAAACTTAACGGATCCAGCGTCTGAGGGCCAGAGAGATGCTAGGAAGGGGGAAAAATAAAAAGAGAGCTGCCTACGTGATGCAGCCTGGACCAGGATCACCGTCACAGTCCTCTCTGTGAAGGATGCTCCCTGGATTCGTACAGCATCAGTGGCCTACTACGAGAACTACGCTGTAGCTAAGACTTTCACCTACTTCCTGACCTATGTGCCTCCCAGGGTTATTCATGCCACACAAAGTCACACTGGCCAAGTGCTGGCAATAGTCAATGCCCAGGTTCATGGTCTTCAGAACTGGGGACTGGCCAATCCACACACATGGGGCCTGTGTCCACACTCTGGGCTCTAGAGCATCAAGGGTTTGGGAAAATACAATCACGTGAGAATTTAGATCATCTCTAGTGTGTATGCTCTACATTCCAATCAATCTGTGACTTTAGTTCACCTTTCTTCTGTTCTGATTATTAAGGCAGGGAACCCTTTACTAATGTCAATCAGTCATTTAGTGATGGAGATCATGGCTTGTTTTCTCACTTTGCTACCTGCCTAGGTCCATATGAAAGGGAATTTTCTTTATCAAACTAGGCCCCTGTGAGGAAGGCTGGTAGGAGCAGCCATGCTTCACTCCAGTCCTGTTCCCCTCCCTTCCTAGTCTGGGAGGAGGGCTAATCTGACTACCGAGGCAGGCCGGTTTCCTAGTGGGCGGGATTCTTCTGCTTTTAAAAATGCAGAGACTGGGTCAGGCATAGAGCCTGCTGCCTAAGCTCAGGTTTGGAGGGCTGCTGAGAGTTGGCTTTTAAAGCAGACTCATGGGCTATCCGGAGTAACTGTAGACCCTGAAGACTGTCTTTCCCTAGAAGCAGGTCTTTCCCCCTGACTCAAGAAGAGCTGTTGTTGTTAAGTGCTGTTCAGTCAGTCCTGACTCAGAGTGACTCAGTCTACGGTTTCCAAGGAACAGCTGGTGGGTCTGAACCGCTGAACCTGTGGTTCATAGTCCAGTGCCAAACCTACAGTGCCACATCAGGAGTGTAGCAGGCAGGTTAATTTTCAGACACGGTGGATAACTTGGGGAATAGTTACTAATTGCCATTGATTCGGTTCCAGCTCACAGTGACCCTGTATGGGGTTTCCAAGGAGCAGCTGGTGGGTTTGAACTGCCGACCTTGTGGTTTGAAGTCCAGTGCTGATCTACAGTGCCACACCAGGAGTAGGAGTCGCTGTATACCCCTTAATAAGTTCCAATCTTCATCTGATGTTTGAAACACAATTTATGATTGATTAAAAGTCAGAGAGAGGTGGTGGTGTGCCGTGGAGTCGGTTCCAACTCATAGCTACCCTGCATGGGGTTTTCTGAAGCTGTAAATCTTTACAGGAGCAGAATGCCTTGTTTTTCTCCCATGGAACGGCTGGTAGTTTTGAACTGCTGACCTGGAGGTTAGCAGCCTGAGTTGTAACCATTACGTTACTGCTAAATTTACTGGCAACCCAAACTTCTAGCACAAACTATGGGGGTCAGTTTATAATGGAGCTCACTTGAAATTCCCTTTTTTCCCAGCACCATGGAAACTTCATATTGCCAGTAATACTATGTCAACTATTAATATAGGCAGGTTCCAAATGATGAAAAACACTATGTTGTACGTAGGGGACATTACTAGAGCTGTATTTTAAAGCTGAAGGGATGGAAATTCATTTTTAGCTGAGGAGGAACAATGTTTATTCTATTCACTTAGCCCTTCCCTGAACTATTTTCTCCTCGAAAGTGCTTTGATGGTGCTGTTTCTAAAGTTTCTCAGACTGGGATATGTTTGTTTGGCAATGACATTGTATCTTTCTTTAAATACACTGGATTGTTATGCTAATTTCTATTTATTTTTAGAGATGATCTATGCCTGGGCAACCCTTCCTAATAACACACTCCATTAGACAACCTGAGGTTTGCAAGATACACAAACTCAATGTGTCTGCAGGGTTAAATGTGTGCGTCCCTCCTCCAAAATGCCCAATGTCCCTCAGCAGCTGTTCTTATGTTAATCCCAGAGCAGAAGTGACTTTCACTTTATTGACCCTCCCTCTGGTAGCGTAGTGGTTACGAATCGGGCTGCGACCCTTAAGGTCAGCGGTTCGAAACTACCAGCTGCTCCGCGGGAGAAAGATGAGGCTTTCTACTCCCGTAAAGATTTACACCCTCGGAAACCCTATACAGGGTCGCTTTGGGTCGGAACCGACTTGATGGCACATAACAACAACAACAACATTATGGTAACTGTGAGGCAAATACAACTGCTGGTGTCTGTAAATGACCCCAAATGAGCTTTCCTCGCAGAAGGATAAATATAATTAATAAGCTGGAAAAGAAATGAGCAGAGGAAAGCCTGAATTAAGATGTAAGTTGTGGCACAAGAGATGGTAGTGTAAGCAGAATTATTGCTCCCCCCCTCTAAAAATAACACCTTGCATTGAGCATTTCAACTTCTGGAGAAAACCAGGGTAAATCTGAGTCAATAATAGAAATGTTGTGGTAAATACGCATCACTGTGACAAATTCCAAATCCTTCTTCTAGGAAGGGCAAGCTCTTTCCCATTTCAGCTTGCCAACTCTTTCAGAAAGCTTTCCATCTGGGCTCAATCCTCATCTCTCACCTGTGGAATTGGCCCTGTCTGAAAGGGACATGGATGTGCCAACGGGCCAGGGGCTGCCCGGGTGGTAGAGATGACCGCGAGCTGGAGAAGCGAGGCTGCTGGAGTGGAAATGGCGGTGAGGGTTATCGAGGGAATGGATGGGATGGGCACTAATTACAGCTGTGAACGAACACAAGACAGAGAAATGCTTAGCATGCTTGCACGGACACACGCGAGGCTTTAGTTTAATCGCATCACACCCCTCCCGACCTCCCGTGCAATCCAACCGCTGCCTTGGCTTTTTGGTGGCAGCTAGCTGGATTTAGACAATTAGCCATGAATTTTACATGAAAGAAAACAAAACAAAACAAAACAAACCAACACATTATATGCATTGTGTATGTATATATAAGTGTATCTTATCTACCTAGCTTTCTGATGTGTGTGTATATTTTTAAATACATTCTAAAATGTTAACAGTGATTATTTTGTGGGGAAGAGTGGTCAGGATTAAAAAATATTTTTCTTTTGGCTTCTCTGTATTTTCAATTCTTCTACAATAAACATGGATTACATGAGCTATTAAAAATAGCCATTTGAAAATATCCCCAAATATTAATCCATTAGCAAAAGAACACTGGCTTAGGCTTCTATTACCACATTTTCACTCAATGCGCACGCGTTATGCTAGAATGGCTTACTTAGCTTAATTTCTGCATTTCCATACATTATGCTCATATGTGTGGTGCTTTGTTGGGTGGGTGGGTGGGGGGGAGATTGATATATTTTTCCTTATTAAAAGGATTGATGTCCCTTTGCTTTTGAGCATATTCCCAGTTCATTTTGCCTTTTCTTAATGGCTAGACGAAACATTCAGTAGGCATTTGGGTTGAGTGAATGAGTGGCTGTTTAAACCATTTTGATATCTTAAAAGACATGCAAATGTAACTGAACTCTGAAGGCCCAGTCTAGAATTAAGAACATGAACCACAGGCCTGTGGCTCCATCTCTGGCTGCTGCCAGTTCCACCAAAATTCAAATTTCCACACAGAGATCCCACGTGCAATTTATATACAAAGTCCCTCTTTGATCAGACATCAATATCTATCTCAGAGATGTAAAAAACAAAACAACAACAAAACCCTAGATTTTGGGGGTAGACTCTTCTCAGACACTCACTCTCCTTAGAGAAGTTGTAGAAACAGAATACTTAAGTTCAAGATGACCAGCTTGTAGACTAGGAAACCACAGGGCTTGTTACACTGTGGTTATGTTTAATTAGCCCTCGGGAGCCTATTTAAATGGTCACTGCCACCTGGTTCCCCTTAGACCTTTGTGGACCTGATCAATGTTACTTTGGTGAAAAGGAACCCCAGCCAATGAACTGGGCACTTTATCCTTCCACCAGCTCCTGTCCTGGCTGCGTGAGCAAACGAGTGGCACAGCCAACTTGACATTAAGGGGCATCCCCTCCCCTTCCCTCTTCAAGGGCAGAGAAACAAGGGGCTTTTCCTGCTTTGTGCTCAGAGACCAGAAGACTCATGTGTTCATTGGAATAAAACACAAAACCTAGAGTTGCTGGCTAAGTAGGCTTCTCAGGGCTTTTGGAAGTCAACTTCTCTAGGGGATGAGGGGTGTTTTCAGAAGTGGGGTACTTCAGAACCAGAGTCTGCCAGAATTGAGGCTGGCATGAAGGAAGAGTAATCTGAAAGGGTTCTCGGTATGGGGACTCTCACAAAAAAAAACAAAAACCCCACTTCTGTCGAACTGAACCGTATCTCAACATCAGCAAGTCACTGAAGGCTAGGGTGGGTGAAGGGTGGATGCAAGACTCCAGCACCTGCCAGGACCCAAAACCCCGGGAAGCCCAGCTCATGGAGGAGGACTGTAGTCATGAGGGGTTAAGGGGATCTCAAAACGCAAAATCTCGAGTACAGTAGGTATCTGGTTTTAGGTTCTTGAATTAAAAAAATTCTACTCCCACCCAATTTTTGAGGTACAAATTCCATCATATTGCCTATTTACACATACTGCTTCCCCAATACTACAAAAAAAAAAAAAAAAACAAAGGAAAAGAGAATAGGGTAATAACAACTAGTACAAAACATCTTTTCCCTTAACACATGGAAAATTAACGTATCTAGGAATTTTTGTTGTTAAGTGCCATTGAACTGGTTCCTACTCACAGTGACCCTGTATATGGTTTCCGAGGAGTGGCTAGGGAGTTTGAACTGTCAACCTTGCTGTCCAGTGCTTATCCCACAGTGCCACACCAGGACACCTATCTACTGATGTTGTTGAGTCAGTTCCTACTCATAGTGACCCTGTACAGGGTTTCTGAGGAGTGGCGGGTAAGTTTGAATCAACAACCTTGCAGTTCAAACTGACCTTGTGGATCAGTGCTTATCCTATAGTGGCTTCTCTAGGAACAGGGAAAGTCAAATTTTACAAGTTTTTAAAAAAGAAGCCAGTTTGGGTAGGAACCAAAGTCTTATAGAAAACAGAGCCAGGCTACCATCTTCTTATAAATCAAAAGCCAAAAGAATGAATTATTTTATTCTTTTTTAGGCACTGTGTCTTCATATCTGATGTACCCTTGTCCAGGCACCACTGATGAAAAGGAAACTACTTTCCCTGCATTTCCAAGGAGAAGGCAGGCTCTGCTTTCCAGTACAAATCCCAAGCACAAACCATTTGGTACACAAATTACCTATGAATGAATAGGTCCTTACTCTTCCAATGCTGATGTGTAGAGTCCAAGGTCTTACATGTCTGTAAACGGTTAGTGTGAATGAGTATGAGCATATGTGCACATATTGGCATGCCTGGGGGGGGCACCGCTGTAGGTTGTACTGCACCTCTGTGGGGGGTGTACCCACCCACTTGTTGGCAAAGACCTGACTGAGTTCTAAGGAATCAACAGAAAACTCAGAACCTCATTCAGGTTCAATTGAGACATGACCTAGTGGATGCTTCAGGACTGGGATCTAGGTATTTCAGAGTGTCAGGCCTTAATGGCTGAATCATTCAGCTTATGCTTCAAATTTAAACCAACAGTTCATAATTAAGAAAACTTGAAAACTTCCTATTGGAAGGTAGTTGGGTCCCTGATGAAGTAAGGCTTCTTTCCTACTCTGGAATGGTACAAGGGACCCTCAAGTGGGAGCCCCACAGAGAAAGCCCTTTCAACCTTGAGAACAGGGACAAGGGAAAGGACATAGATATTTGAAAATGAAGAGCTGGTGCATCCCACTGCTTTATGGTTTTAAAGCACACTGTTTATATTCTGAATTTAAGATAATAATGCTAAATCTATGTCAGGAAGCTACCTGTGATACCTGGCTGTTGCCAACCTGTAGTAGAGGGATGCCTTCCATCTCTTCCACAGAGATGCTAAGCACTTCCCTATCCCTGAGAGACTGGGGAAATTGTCTTTTTGACTACTTTACCCTAAAAGGAAAGCTGCTAGTCTCAAGAATGAAAGTCATTACAAAAACTGGCAAATGTTTGTGACTTCTTTCCCCAAGCTGTTAACAGAGCTTTTGTAAACCTCTTCTGTGTTCATTTGAGGAGATCATCCATAATTGTTGCCCACTATGACTGGATAGAACTTACGCTGTGGTGGTTGGGAGTCAAAAGGCATCATCATTTTTGGTCTCATTCCTCGCCTTCCAGCCAGTGTAGACATGCTGTCCTCTGATTCATGCCCTAGACGTCAAATACCGAGATTGATACAAGTGTGTGCCATACAGATCTCAACAAGAACACATTTCTGGTGGAGGACTCAGGGCCCAAAATGTCTCAAGTTGGTGAAGCCTACAAGATCTAGAAGGTTGCCTCTTACAGGTACAGAAGAACCCCCACAACAAGCTAGCGATTCTTCATCACATGTTGACCAAATCCCCTATCATACACATTTATTTAAATCTAGCTTCATATGTTGTTGTTAAATTTCACTGAGTCGGTTCTGACTCATAGTGACCCTATACAGGGTTTCTGACGAGTGGCTTATGGGTTTTTGAACAGCTGACCTTGCAGTTAGCAGTCTAGTGCTTATCTGACAGTGCCACACTAGGACTCTTAGTCTCATATGCTGTTGATAAGTGCCATTGAGTCGGTTCTGACTCATAATGACCCTGTACAGGGTTTCCAAGGAGTGACTGGTGGGTCTGAACTGCTGAGTTGTGGTTAGCAGACTACTACTTATCATAAAGGAACCTCCAAATTTAAGCAACCTTAGAACATGGAAAATGACTTAAATGAAGATAGTTTTCCAACATTTGGGGAAAAGCCCTGTGCTTGTAACGGCACCTCTGTATGAATTCCTCCTTTGATGGATATTGCTGTCCATGGAATTGTCAACTGGCGTGATGTCTTGAGAGTTGCGAGGGATTGGAGTATCAGTCATGATGGGGTTCGGGTCTGGAGACTTATCGATAGGCTTCAGTTCCAGTCTTTCATGATGGATCCAGAGGTCTGGGGGTTTGACATCTTTGGAATTCCCTTTGTATTTGTGGGAGCCATTCACTGATTTGCAGGCAGCTCGTTTTCTAGGTACACAATTTAGAGGATAGTTGTGTGTATATTTTAAGCAACTTATGAACATGTTTGCAAAAAGCCTGAATGATTAAAACTGCCTTTCTGAGAGACGTTTCTAGGACAGGAAGAAACTTTAACAGAAGAAGGAAGCTGACATGTCAGGGGATAGCTAAAGTATTTCTACTCTAGCCACACATATTTAGAGATATATGCAATGCATATTTTAGTCATGCCTTGTAACTATTTTTTTTTTTTTTATTATCAAAAGAAGATAAAGCATTTTTACAAAATAATCGCCAATGCAGAAGCTTCCTCCACACATCTCTCATCAAAAGAGACAGAGCAACATTAACATGGAATACAAACATGAAATAAATAAAGGTGGAGTCTTGAGCTTACAAAGGAGGGAATGGGAACATATTCAGTAGCCCAAGCTGAGATTATCAACTGGAGGGTCATAAATAGTGATGACGACACCTGCTTTTCTGTGTCTTATTTTCACATTTTCTCACTCACCCACCACCCATTCAATAAGCATTTTATGAAGTACCTAGTATATGTCAGACACTGTGCTAGATGCTGGGCCCTGGCAGCATTTTTGGTCAAATGAAGAAGAAAGATATTGAACTATTATTTTAAAATGCTCTGAGCATCAAGAAATGCCCTGTGTTACAGTAACCTCTTAATCCTTGGTGATCTAAGGTGGACAGGAAAAACATGGAGGACGAAGTAACATTTATGCTAAGAATTAAAGGGACAGGAAGCACATTGCAGATGGCAGACTCTCATGTGAAGGCACTGCAGCAGAAGGCAACAGCTGGCAATTTAGAAAGACTGTAAGTGGTGCTGAGTGTGGGCCCAGAATTGAACTATGGGGAGAAAGATACACAATGATGCTAAAGAGGTTCAGGGACCATATCATAAAGGGCTTTTGGAGACATGTGAGTCTGAACTTCCAAAACCACAAGTGCAGGACACCTTGTGGTAAAGGTTAGCAGCAGTTATATTCCTGAAACCCTCTCATACAGCTGCACATCTCAGAAAACAAGTCCCTCCTCTTGTCCTTTCAGGCCTAAGGGTGACAGCAGTTTATCACTGCTGCTAGTCCTTCAGCATTCCTACCTAGTGCTTTCTTGCAAGGACCCTAACTGCTACACATTTATAAAGACCAACAGACTTAAAAATATTCCTCCTTAAATGCTGTAATGTTTTAATTCTGTGCACAATTCCCACAGAAAGTAAACAGAAGCAAAATCCTAGATACCCCAGCATCTATGGCCTACATCAGGGCCTCCTTACTTTTTCTGGTGGGAGGTGGTGCGCCTGGTGCAGAAGACAGCAATGATGACCACCGCCACGATGGTGATGACGCCAATAGACACGATGATGACCAGCAACATACTGCTGTCCAGAGGAGACGTGGGGCTTCCCTGAGGACTGTTACTGCCTGCAGATGAAGAATGGTGCATTTGTCAATGTCGGCAAACTCAAACACTGGACGGGCTCAGACTGCCGGACTCAAGGTATGCTGTGTGAGCCTTTTAGGAACACACGTCACCACGCCTCATGACCATGCTATCTTTTCCGGAATATGAATTTCTGGAGAGTGGGAATTTGGCCTTATGTACAGTTCTCAGCACAGAACACTGTACAAAGCTGTTGTTCAAGACAAAGTTTCCCAAACTGTACTGGACATCCAAGGCTCCCAAAAGGTCAGATCTACTTGGACAAATAAGGGTCTACCCCTCTGGTGTCTTGCGTTTTATGTGAATTTTACACCATCTGTAAATCAACTAATTTAATGACTTTTAAAACCATTAAAAAAAAAGGCACATGGATACAAAGCAGACATTTTCTCCAATATACATAATCTGAAATTATAAAATTACTTGAAACATAAAGGCTCTCTGCTTTTGAAAATCCAGTAAAACCTGAGAAAACTGGAATCTGGGTATGGCAGAAAACTCCAAGAAGGAAAACAAAAGAATATTTTCCTCTAATAGAGAGCAAAAGAAAAGCGTTAAGACTGAACCTGGACACAGGCAGAAAACTTGGGGGACCTGAGAAAATGATCTCTCACAGGTGTCACTACATGTATCGTTACGCAGAGATAATTACCTTATTCAACTCCAAGAAAAATTAGGTCTGCACATATGTATTACTTTGACAAATATTTACTGAGTGGTTAATATATACCCGTCATTGTTCTAAGTACTAGGCACACAATGATGAATAACACAGATGTGAATGCTGGGGGTGGGGATGAAAGCAGATAAGTAAACAAAAAAGTGAATAATGAGCCCTGGTGGCACTGCAGGATAAGCACTGGAAGGCTAAACACAAAGTTAACAGTTCGAACCCACCAGCCACTCCGCAGGAGAAAGATGAGGCTTTCAGCATCCGTATGGATTTACAGCCTCAAAAACCCTCTGCTGGGTAGGGTCACCATGGGTCAGAGTTGACTTGATGGCAGTGGGTTTCGTTTGGGTTTGGGTATGAAAAAAATGAGGAGCTATGTTATAGTGAAGGAGCTCTGGTAGCGAAGTGGTTATGAATTGGGCTACGAACCTCAAGGTCAGCAGTTCGAAACTACCAGCTGTTCCGCGGGAGAAAGATGAGGCTTTTTGCTCCCATAAAGATTTACAGACTCAGAAACCCTGTACAGGGTCGCTATGAGTCGGAACCAACTCCACGGCACACAACAACAACGTTATAGTGACTGGGTGGCTATTTTTGATTGAGAGGTAAGAAAAAGCATCTCTGAGGGGGTGGCTTTTGAGTTAAGCTTTGAAAGAAAGATCCCACCATAGGAGACAGACAGAACAGCTGGTGCAAGGCTTGCTCCTGGGGCAGAAAGCAGAGATTTCAAAGTTAGAAGAAAATGAGGAGGAAGAAGATAAAGATGAAGCTGGGCAGAGGCCAGACCACTAAAGACTTGACAACATTAAGATCTTGTTTGTACTACAGTTACTGTTACGTTACGTTCTCTCTGCTCAGGATAAGGTCCAAGCTTTTTAGTGTGGTCTTGTAAATCTAGCTGTACTCTAAATCTTGTTCTATTTTTCTTGAACTTCTATTTCTTGGCTTCCTACTTCATTTATTAAAGTTATGTATACTCATATCATTGTTAAGTGCTGTTGACTTGATTCTGACTCATAGTGATGCTTGTATAGGGTTTCAGAGGAGAGGTTGGTGAGTTTGAACTGCCGACTTTGCAGTTCTAATTGACCTTGCGGTCCAGTGCTTATCCTACAGTGCTATGCAGTCTTTAGTCACTAGAAATACTTAAGAAGAGGTATTTTATCTCTCTGGGATGCTGTAGAAGAAAATAAATTCCTACCATGAAAGTATGGCCTGAGAAATCTTTGTTGTTTTTAAAAGCTTTTAAGGTGATTCTCACATAAATCAGGATTATAAATTTAGGATCTAATCCAAACATACTCTCTTCCACAACACTGGATTAGCTGACCTTCTAACCTCGATTCTGTGATTTTAGTCTACAGCTAAGCACAGTGCTAAATCTGGGGCTGATTTAGAAGAGCTCAAGAGCTTACTCTTCTCAAGCTGGTTCAATCATTTTTATCTTTCATTTCTGAGAAAAAGGTAAGTAGACAGAAGACTTAAATTGTACATACTGACCTTTAATAAAGTTATATTTTTCTCTTTTGGAAGGACTATGGGGACTGGGGCCAATAAAATGAAACCATATGTTCATGTCAGAGAAAAGGTTTTACAGAAAGCTTTTATTAACATCAGTGCTGACCCCCTGGCTGGGGTACCTGGTGGGGAAGGCATTGCAAATCAGAGGTTGGAGTATTGGGGTGTGGGAGGCAACAGTTTTTTCTTGTATTCAACAGAGACAAGTTCTCATTCAACTGCCTTTGACCCTAACATCTAAGTTGCCCAAAAGATTCCTTCTAAGAGAACAAAGGCAGCATGAATACCCCCAGAGACACACTGTAGGTCACTTGGACAACTGTAACAGCTTTCTAACCACTCTTCCTAGTGGTGTCCCGGCTTATTCTTCACTGTCATCACACTAACAGTTGTTGCTGATGGTGGTAAGTGTCATCAAGTTGGTTCTAATCCATAGCGACTCTGCATACAGTCTCTGAGCAGTGGCTGGTGAGCTTGGACCGCGGACCTTGCTGTTCAACCCGACCTCGCAGTCCAGCACATTAACCCGAGGTGCCACACCAGGACCCCACACCAATAGCAGATGCTCACTAAACGGAAGTCATATTATATAACCCACACTGCCACTGAGTTAACACTGACTTATAGCAACCTTGTAAAGGTAAAGCAGAACTGCTCCTTAGGTTTTGGATACTTTAAATCTTTACAGGAGCAGACAGCCTCATCTTTTCCCCTCAGCGTGTCTGGTGGGTTTGAACTGCTGACTCTGTGCTGAGCAGTCCAGAGCTGAACCTACTGAGTCATCAGAGATCCTTATATTGTATAATTGTTGTTGTTGTTAAGTACCATTGAGTTGGTTTTGACCCATAGTGACCCTGTTTAGGGTTTCCAAGGAGCAGCTGGTGAGCTTGAACCACAAACCTTGCAGTTCAAACGGCTTTACAGTGTGGCGCATTAACCCACAGCGCCACACCAGGACTCCCAGTTATCATTTATTTTACACACGTCACTCACAAGATAAAGCCTATGTTTTATAGCTTGAGCTTTGGACAGGCTGGTGCTTACTACCTCCCTTTTCAACTCATTCTGTATCCTGTCTCTAGGCAGTGGGATCCGGAGAGACCACACTGTTTGCATTGTTGTGCCTTTGCACATGCTGTTATCACTTCCTGGAATGCTCAATTCTCTCCTTGTCATTTAGCAATCTTCTAGTCTATGTCCCCTGTACGACCTGGGTCAGATGTCATCTTTTCTATGAAAGTTTCCCTTTGTCTCTACCAGGCAGTTGTCACATTCTTCTTGATCTACTGGTCTGTCCCATAGAATCAGGACCTTTTAAAACTACATGAATGAATGACTGCATGCCTGCTTAAATGAAAGAAAACACACAGGACTGTCTACTCTTCTCATAGTTTTGACTATTACACTATGAAGAACATGCATATGTGTCACGATGTAGCCCAGAAGGAGAAGCTCATCAATAAAAGCCTAGCATGAAAAGTGCCTGAAACATACAAGTTTGGTTTGGCTCTCCTAAGGATAAGTTGATTTCACTGAAGTCTGTGCATACCACTTTTTATTTAAATAAGATACCTGCAAACTGAGAGATTATTTTACAGAGTTGTAAGTTTCTAAAAGATAGGCCTTTTATGTCCTTAGTTCTATCTTAGGCGGGGCTGAGAACTAATTTTGTGGGCATTTTGTCATTATGAATCCCCACATCTCATGTAAAACATCTCATGCCTTTTAGGCTGCATGTTTACAGGAAAGGCATAATTCTTAGTCCAGAGCTCTAGGGCTGCCATAATTAGTGGGTTGTTGTTGTGATGTGCCGTGGAGTCAGTTCCATGTGCCATGGAGTCAACAACCCTGTACAGGGTTTCCGAAGCTATAAATCTTTACGGGAGCAGAAAGCCTCATCTTTCTCCCATGGAACAGCTGGTAGTTTTGAGGTTAGCAGCCTGATTCATAACCACTACACTACCAGAGCACCTTTCCAGGCATATTACTTCTCCATTGAAAGTCTTTGTGGTGAAAATATAGAGAACAAAACATATGCCAGCTCAACAATCCCTACGATGAACACAGAGTTGCAATGAGTGAAGTGGGAGTAACGCTGCCTGTTCCTGCTGCTTCACAGTGGTATGAAGTTCAAATGTGATTTCATGTGTGAAGTTTACAGAGAGGGAGGTGTCATCATTAAAGCAGAACTCTCCTGCTCCTGGGATGGTGAGGCTGGTGGGAAGAACTTTCTAGAATTCCCAAACTAAATAGACTACTGTAAGTGCTGTGGAGAGAACTCAATGATTCTGAAGCAGGTCTCTGATTTGTTTTGGGTGGCAGCTGAAGGCTGACTTCTGAAAGCAAGACTCTAATTTTCTTTTCTAGAGGCAGTAGGCAAAAGAAGAATCGTTCCTTTAGAATTAATTTGATCTGAAATTGGGTCTCTGGGAAACTTTTATTTATGGATCTTATAACGGGCTTATAATTTTTCTTGAGAGACATAAGTCAAAATGCTCCTCAGAAGCGAGGTTGCTGAGCCTTCTTTGGACATGATATCAGGAGGGACCAGTCCCTAGAGAAGGACACTGTGCTTGTTAAAGTAGAGGGGAGCGAAAAAGGAGAAGCCCCTCAACAAAATGTACTGACACAGTGACTCCAACCATCTGCCCAAACATGGCAACAATTCTGAGGACTGGGCAGTGTTCTATTCTGTTAGGCATGGGGTCGCTATGAGTATGGGCCAACTCAATGACACTTAACAACAACATGATACGTACAGTAGGTTAGCAAACATTTTATAGAAAATTACCTAAAGCTAGATCTACTAAATGAAACAAGCAGGTAATACATTAACCTACCACACACAAGTTACAAAAGATGTTAAAGATTTCAAACAAAATAGCTTCATGTCCACTGCTGCTGTTGTGTACCATCAGGTCAGTTCTGACTCATAGGGTTTCCAAGAGTAGCTGGTGGTTTGAACTGCTAATCTTGCAGTTACCAGACCAGTGCTCATTCTACAGCGCCACATCTGGGCTCTCAAAGTAGAACAAAAAAAGTCCAAGGGAAAGGTTTTACCGCTCATTGGAGGTTTGTAGTCAGATCCTAGGTCTGGCAGCCGGCTTCCTTTTCCTGAAGACCCTGAGGCTGAAGGAGGAAAAATCATGTCAGTAATAATCCAGAACACTGGAGGTAACAGTCCACTTCACAGATAATGACTTTTCTTATAAATTGTTTTTTCAGTCCACTCTGTCCATGAGTAAATAAATAGCAGAAGAAAACAGTATATTTGTGCAAAGCAAAATAAGGTATAGTTTTCTATGCAATGAGGCATCTGAAAGGCTGACACGCTTGTTCCACAGTTCTTTCTAACGTGAGACCAGACTGTCACTCTGCTGTTCAGAAGGTGGGGGCATACCTACTTCTCTTGCCAAGTACATAGTTTCCACAGGACTGGTCAGATGACTACGGCAAAAGCAGATTTTCTTGGAAAGTGAATTTTCTCTTTTAAGAGACCTGGACAAGATGACCTGGCCTAATAGGTGTCAGTGGGGGTGAAATTCTTTCTTCAATGATTGCCCTTCTAAGTATAAAGTTACCCTAGGCAGGAGCTGAGGGGTTATGTGGAGGGTTAAACTGGGCTCTCCACTCTTGCTCAGTTACCTAAACACCCAAAGATGGAAAGAGCAAAGTCTTGCCTTTAATTGCTCACAAAAGGTACTGTCCCCAAATCTAGAATGGTGGGACAACAGAACTGAGACTACCACCACCTCAAGTGTGAAGAAGCAGGCCTCAGATGACAAAACAACAGGCTTTCTAAAACTTCCTATTCTTGGTCTTGCTCCCTTTGCTCTTCACATTTATAGGGAAGGCTATAATTGGATAAAACCAATATAAGGAGATCTTGCCCAATAAAGCAACAGTATCCCTCAATCCAAGTTTGTGGCCAGAAAGTAGTAGGAGGAATCTCTTGAAGAGGGACTTGGGAGATTGCAAAATGAAAATGCTCCTGACTGTAGCATAGCACAGAGCTCAGCAGACTGCCTGCCTTAAACACAGGCCCCGTCACATACTGACTGACTGACCTTTGGCTCATCTTTTTAGGCGTTCGTTTCCTCAGTTGTATAAAAGGGATAATAAAAGAAATGTGTGCAACAGGGCTGTATGCTTTCACCATACTTATTCTACCTGTATGCTGAGCAAATCATCTGAGAAGCTGGGTTACATATATGAAGAAAAACGTGGCATCA